TTACATCACAATTTGGCAAATTAGCATCTTTGGGAAGATTAAACGTCTGATTTATTATTTTTTTGCCAAATGTGCATTTCTGAAAAACTCCTCCATCACTTTTGCTTCCATAATGTCCAAAATCTACAAAAATGAATTTGTAGTGGGCATCTGCAACAGCCATTAATATCTTACTAAATCTCCCTTTATAATTATAATTAAGAGACCCAGTATTTGCAGGACACTGCAAAACAATATGTTTACCATCAATACTGCCACAGCAATTGGGCAGTTGCCAACGTTCCAAAAATCCCTCAGCAATGTTTTGCCATTCCTCTTCTGTCTGAGGAACTTTCATATATGTTCCTTTCAATCTATTCCAAATAGCAAAACTGGTCTCTCTCACTATTTTAGTTACTGTTGTTCTTCCCACTCGAAAACTGTAACTCAAACTTCGAAAAGTTTCTCCAGTAGCAAGAAACCTAGAATTTTAAGTAAAGTTTAAATATGATGAAATGTATACATTAAATGCATCATTTTATCATCTCCATTTTGTCACATTCAATTAACTTGTTTATTTAGAAATAAATAACCATTTATATTGCTCTACATGATAAAATTTAAATGAGAATCACACAAATTAATAACAAACTAGCAATAATTATTTTGTTATAGTATTGGCCAACTGTTTTTATTGTAATAGAAATTATATAAGCAGATTATAAATGTTTGGTTCTGTACTATAGCTAAAAAGTTAACGTTATTATTTTATCCATTTCCTTTTTTATTATACATTATAATTCGTATTTTGATTTTTTAATACAAAATATTAGAATATATAAAAATAATAGGCTGTAAAAGTCAATAAATATGCATTTTCCCCATAAAAATGTTTTAAAATATTCTTCCAAAACTAAAAATCCAGCTTTAACATATGAAGGTGACAACACCGAGATGATTATAATAGGATTGATTACTACTTGTAGTCTGAAATAATTCCTTTTACCTTAATGTTAAACATAGTCGATCGTGAGCTGATATAGCATCACGCCATCGGGTATTTTGTTTGGTTATATCGGGCTCAATTAAACGCAATAACTTTGCGAATGTCTCGATGGGCATTCGGAGAAACCTACATTTAGATAAAATATATTTCATTTATTCGCTATATAGTATTATTATCCGAATTAAATATCCATGTCAAATAGATGTACTGTACTTACTGCATGAAGTATTCGGGATCGTTTAATCTTAACTCGGGTACCAAAGTGTTCGAAACTCCTAATTTCGAACGATATCGAAATATTTTTCGCACCCAAAATCTTCGCTTTTGTGGCTTTTTGATTTGAGCTATCATTGTAAGTAAACTTAAAAAGTTTAACTGGTATAACAACACAGTTTTCGTCGACGCCATTTTCGTCTACTCTCGGTAGATGTTTATATTTACAGCGGGCAGAGGGCGCGCGTTTCAATTGTAGAGTATTTGCCGCATGTGAGTACGTGCGGTACGGAAAGACGACGGAACGGCAACCGTTTCCGTCGACGGTTTCCGTCATCCGTTGCCGCATGTGGGTACCAGGCTTTACTGATATCACAGGTCTACTAAGTAAGCACTTTTTAACACTTTCAATTGAAACAATATTGTAAAAATTAAATATAAATTTAAAAAATTTTTGCATTGTAAAATATATTTTGATTACAACTTCCGTCTACAAGAAAAAGTTGCTTTTATATTAATACAAAATAACAAAGTTTCGTTTAAAATACCAAATTTACGAAAGCTATTGCAAAATTAATGTATCTTTTCGAAGTTTGTTACATGATATAAAAAAATTTCCAGCAACGAGTTGCATGACTTTCCTGGCGGAAAAAAAGCTATAACACTGAAAGTTAAAAAATTGTGTGTGGTGCCATCTGTTACGAGATTTTATTTAAAAATAACTTTTATATTATGAATTATTGTAAAATGGCAAAAAGCATAATTTTGAGAATAGAGACGAGTATTTAAAAATATTGTAAATACCTAAAATTTTCATTAAGTCTGATTCCACTTGAGATATGACACGTGATTCCCTTCAATCTCTCTACCCTTTCGAGTTTCCTACTCCAAACTTTAATAACATGAATGCCCCTTATATAAAAATTACCGTGCCAAATTTCGTTTCTTAATCTGTACCCATCTTAAGATATTAAACGAAACATACGCCAACAAACACACGAACACAGCTACACACCTACACATAGACACACATACCGGGAATATCCCTTTTTGACTTTTGGATTCAGAGAGTCTGAAAACGTCAAGATTTGCCAAAATACCGGAGAGCGGAATTTTTTACGATTACAATACTTTTCCAATGTTGTATACTTAACAGCCTGGAAAGTAAAATGGTTACTTATATAGAACCATAATAAGAACTGAGAAATCTTCACTAATAACAAAAGAAAATAGATTTTATTTTACTCAAGGAAGGTATTAATACCCTACGTACATGAATTTGAATTGTTTACTTTGTTAAAATTGTTAGAAAATAACTTATAAAATATTAATAATTATTATATATTGAATATGTAACTTTATTATTCTTATTGTGCGTTAAACAACGTGCTTAACATATAACAACCAGAGTAAACGTAATCACAGGAGTATATATTCTTAATAACCACACTACTTCAAAACAGATTTTTTTCTGATTGTATTTATAATATATATTGATATAAACTTTAATGAAAATAAAAGAAAAATTATAGAGCTTCTTGAAATATTTAAACAGAATATCTGTAAATATAATTATTTAGAGATATTCTCTTTAAATATTCACAATGTTTTTAAGTGTATACGAATTTCTGGTCTAGACCGGAAATTCGTATACAGTACAGTTAATCAGAGACTCCTGCCCTAAGGTTCCCCTCTAAATTCTCCTGCAATTTTCAAATTGCAGCCCAAAAACGTGAGAATGTAGCCTACACATTTTCTTAACATTCGCTTCAAATCAAGCGTGTACTTCTTAAAAGAAAGCTTTAAAAGTCTTACACATTTCAAAAGATAAAATCCCTGGTGGAATCGAACCCACGCCTTCAAAATGGCAAACTAACGAGTGACATATTACCGATTTGGAGTCGACGTTATTCGAAACAACTTTTTGCAATATTTTATTGAAAGTTAGAATAATGTAATAATTAATTTTCAAAACTACATTAAATCAAAGATTCGAATGCAATTACATCGTTAAATTAAACTTTACTTTCATTATCTCTTCTGTCTACTTCTACTTATCACTGGACAGAGAATAATTTGTATGAAGTAACGAACTTCCCTTCTGGCTATAATATTAAATTAATTAAAAAGTTGGTAACTCATTAACGTAATTAATTAAGAAGCATTAAAATTCTTTGCTCGGCCGACCGTATTTTTGGTTACATTTTTACGCAGCCGGTCGGTTACGTTTTTCCGTCGATTCGTGTTAGCATCTATTAGAAGAGTGAAAGAGTCGCCATCTGCCGGCAAGAATCGAAGCGAATTTTTTTTCTTTTCTTAATAAATTATATATTAAAACTTTATAATTATATAAAATAAATTGTTTACAGTTTAAAAGTTAATAAAAAAATTATTTGATAACAATTATTAAATATTTAGCTATGAAAGTTAACGAGTTTTTTGAAAGTAAAGATAAAAATTGAAGTCATTGCACGGGATTAAAACTTAATCGAAAATTAATTAACTTTTTAAAAATAAATTTTTCTAAGTATCGATTTATTTTATTCGATTTTTCTTTTTTTCTCCCTTAAGTAAAACTCGCCGTTAGATGTCGCTCCTGGCATGAGATCAGAAGAGGGGGCTCATCACTTGTTGATCAAAATACCCAATAGTATCCAATACTGTATCATGTTCGATAGAACTATGAAAGAAATATTTCGCTTGAGAAAGGTACGCCATTTTAATTAAAATAAATAAATAAAATTACTTATATCATTCTTCAGGCGCGCATTATATACGATTACATAAGTTGAAATAATACAGTAATAATAAGTTCACTTAATTTAAATATTAATTCTATTTACGACCGCTAGAGGACTACCGGGATCGATTATCGATTTCCGATCGATTCTAATAAGTGTGATATTGTGTTTTTTTTTCTTTTTCGTTCCTTTAAGACTAAAGAGGTGTCCTGTTGCTATAGCAACGGATGGTAAACAATCTTCCATGATGAAACGTATATTCCGTTAAGTCGTATATATGTAATTTTTTTTTTTTGTAATTTAAATTTTGCATGTTATTACTTGGTATATGATCTATTATTGCATTAATACTTGTTACGGCACTGTTTGTAACTGTTTAAACACGTAAACAATACTTAAAAATGAATAGGTGTGAGTCAAATCATCATTTATTGTTGGATAATTCCTTTGTTTAAAGCCTGTTAAGCGCTTTCAGAGATTACGCAAATTATATTTTTGTTTCCTTTATTATATAACAATTGCGGGTAGAAACAATGAGAAACTGAGTGTTATGAATACAAATTGTGCGATAATTTGTAATAAATATAACGTAAATTACATTTATTCATATACAGACTAGCTTAAAAGTCAGTTAACCATGTTTTGTTCTGTAAATACGAATCGTAAACTAAGTTAAGAACAGCGGTTTAATTAGGTATATTTAAGTACTTGAATAAGGCAGCAGTTTAGTCTTAGTGGTTAACTGACTTTTGAACCGCCCTGTATACTAATTCTATTAATCAGAGTTACACTTAAAATCATTAAATTTATTACTATTAAGTAGTTTATACAGCGGCTATGTCTATGAAATTCATTGTCATGTCTAACGATTCAATTTAAATTTTTGGAGGTGATAACAATTAAAATTTATATTTGATTGTTTGTCATATTTATTTTTTTACTCGTTAAAATTTTGTATTTTGTTTATAATATTTGAGTTTCGTTGGATCTTATCGTTAAAACTGAAACAATTCCAAATAAAATTGCTATTTTTTGCTTATTTTATTAATTGCTGGGTGATTTACACTTGCTATTGTTGAATTTAACAAATATAACGTTTTCATTCTGTGTAATACTTTTGCTTTTTGTTTTAATTTTCAATATGATATATTTTTTCTTGAATTTTTATATTGTAACCCATTAATTGGCTATTTTGTATTTTTATATTAAAAGTCCAAATATTTTTTCTCTTTCCAGCATAAACAATGGAATTAAGATACATGCTTCTGGTTCTTTATTTTATATGTTAGGTACTAGTATAACTGGTCTAATTGGACTTTCTTTTTAACTAAGTCTTGTTACATCGAAGGGATTCACTCCCTACACAAATTCGTACGTACTAAAAAGCCTTTATTGTAACCTCAACCTGTTAAGATCAAGATTACAATAAAGGTTTTTAATAGGAATTTAAGGTCGAGGATACAATAAAGATTTTTTTAGAACGAATTAGAACTCCCTTCGATATAACAAGTCCTAGTCAAAAATAAAGCCCACGTAGACAAGTTATACACAACATAAACAATGGAAATTTCTCACTGTTAATGTTCATAATAATCTTAATTATTGAAATTGTTTATATAAATTAAAACGAAAATTTATCATCATTTATCATAGACAATTTCATATTATCGTTTATCGAAATTGAAAAAAACACTGCACTTAATTTTAACATTTACTAATTTATTTATAATGTTACAATTAGTTCCAATTAATTATAAAAGTAAACGAGCCCAGAACACTAGAAGTAACATAAAAAGCAGAATTTAAACACGTAATGTAAATTCATTCATTTCAGTCGTTTAAAATAGACGAATTAAAACTGGAAATGCCATTTATTAATAAAGGGTGGTGGCCCAAAATTCAGCCAACAACATTCGCATTCCATATACGCTTTGGAATACGAATCGCAAAGTTAGTTTACAAACAAATAGAATATATTTAAATATCTTCAGCGGTTACCTAACTTTTGGACCAACCTTTACATTAAATAAATTTATGAATTTTTAAAATGTAAGCTGTAAAATATCGAACAATATGTTACCATTAATTAATTAATGTAAATCATTAATTGCATAAACAATATAGACTTTTAATAATTCAATATTGAAGAAGTATCAAAGTGGACCCAGATAAAATTAGAAAAAAATCTAAAAGATAAATGTAGTATTTTCAAATATATTATGAGAAAGGAGCAACGTTATTCATTCGCTTGTGACACTCCTCCCGGGTAAAGGTGGAAGAGTAGAATATTGATGTATGCAAGGAACAGACTCGCATGTGCGAATCAACGCTAGGATCAACCGGTGGGCGACTTCCAAAAATCGATTACAAATTTACCAAAAGAAAATACAACTTGCTCTCTTCTCACTTTATATTCTGACATTCTCGTCACTTTATTTACATTTTCTTTCGCCTGCTTATATTTATTCGCCTCCAATCAAATGCCTCTTTTCTGAAATAATATAAAACTTATCAACAACTAGACTAAATTTCTAATCTGCAGGGAGGCCCAAACAATTGTTCACTCACTATATTATTCACTTTATTATTCACTTCATCCTGCTATTGAATCGCGGCTAGAAAGTTTCTGTCCTGTTTTAGACTATTCTAAAAAATTATATACTTCGGTTAACCGATTTTTGGGCTACCTTGTATATCATTTATAAAACTGTGTTTATTGTAATGCTTGTAATATATAAATTTTAAATATTTTCGTGCGCTTTTTCTGACCGTAAATGTAATTCGTGGTGAGTTTAAGGAGAAAAAATGGGACAATTTACGTCGCGGGGACGAAAAGAAAATGCATTTTTATTGTCTGTATTTTACACTCATTTGCATAACGGCCAATCGCAGAACGTTCTTTTCGTTTATTGACATAAAATGTATTTTATATTCATGCAATTCTGACAAGGTTTCCGCCTATAAAAAGTTGGGAGGAAGCACAAGGAAAAAAAATTGAAATTTTCTATACTTTATAAAAATAAGTGTCGACAATATAATCTGCATAATTTACTATTATTGAAATATCTACTTTCTCCACTGTTCGATTCTGTTTTCGTTTTTCAGATAATGTCATCGCCATGTAAATTAGACATTAGGGATTTGATATGTGATGAAGAAATAGAATCGGTATTAAAGGCGTCGCCTCATAATTTATATTTAACTCGACATCCGAATGTTCCTGATAATGTAGAAGTAACAACAACAACAACAACAACAGTATTGTCTGGGCTGCAAAATCCCGCATTTGTTAAAGACACCGATAATTGTTCAGGTTGCAATTGCGTTTAAATTGAAATTAATTGTGGGGTTTATAATTTAAAACCAAACTACTTCTGTTAAACTTTTTTTTTTTCAGATAGTGATGCCATGAAACGATCCACATCAACCGAAGATATAAAAGTTTCTGAAGATGATTTTAACGAAATTATCGCTCTGAGGCCGATGGATGGAAGAAGTAAGTGTACAGACAGACGGACGGTTTTATATTTTAGTGACTAAACCCTAAAACTTCTAATTATTATTGCGTAAAACGCTTTCGGAAGTTAGCTTTAGTTCTTCGTTTATTTATGTAATAAAAGCTTAATTAATTATACGAAACATTTAGCCAAACTTTTGGCCTAGTTTCGAATTTTTCGCTGTCGATATTCGTATTTTAACACCTTCCAAAAACTTCCCGAGTTACCGTAAATGTGGCTTCACTGCATTGCGGCTAAGCCAGTAGGGAAAGACGAAACTCAGGCGTCGATCGATTTCCATCCGCATCTGAATAGAAGTGATGTAGAAGGATGCTGTGGAATAGATGGGAGAAGGGGACAGCGTACAGCCATGATTACAACTTTTTTTCTCTCTTGTTTAAAAGATATTACATCCGTTATTATCACCTGTTTACCGATACGTGAGTTTATTTAACAGTATAAGCGTATAGAAGGTATAGAAGTCGTTGTAATTATTAAAGATAATGCGTTGTTACAGGTACACAATCAGATAATTTAGAAGAAGATAAAGAGGAGATCTGGAGTAACACAGATGGACAACGACCAAACAATTTTGTCGAAATAATGTCTAAAGTTGATAATCAAAATAGGAATCATCTCGTTCCCGAATCGACTTCCGTATCTTATCAACAGAATCATTGGTTAGTTGTATTTGTAAGTTATAATTTATATATTTACGTCTCCAAATTAAATAATACATGATAAATTACAGTTTAAAATTCCTATCTTCGAGATAATCTATCATTTTACTACTTAATATTTAAACTAACTACAATTAATCTATAAATAGTTGTTTATTAATTTTTAATTCTTGAATTTTCTCCTCTAAGCCGAGAAAGTGTGGTTAAACAGTAATTAAGCTTCTCGACTGTTGTTTAACAATATTCACGAATTAGTTGAATATTTTATTTCTGACACCCGCTTATACATAGACGTAAACATTTTATTAATGCTTGTTTATAGAACAGTTCAAAATTTATACGTACTTACTGAATTCTTTAAAAATTACAAAATTAATTAGTTTTGTCTGCACTTTGTGAAATTTATCAATATATTTAAAGGAAAATATTTATTTAATTAAGTAAAAGAATAAACAGTAGATTTATTATAGGTCTGTACCAGTAAAATTTCATTATTTCCTCTTCTATCATTTTGATGTCTTGCAATATTGTCTATCTATATCCATTTCGATCGATCATTCGATACTTTCGATATCTGAAAATATTGTAAATAAATGCTTTATGTAAATTTTCAAAATATTATTTAAATATATTACACTAAAAATTAATTTAAAAAACCATTTCCAGGGCCGAAACGAATCGCGGTGCATACATAAGCCAAAGGATTCAAGCATTGACTCATGCATTCAGTTCGAGAGCTCAGAAAATCAAAGAAAAAATTATACAGGCTCCAATCCCTTCTCCCAGTGAGTTTGGTCATTATTAATTTATACAATTGTAAGAAAATCCTGCCAACCATTTTTATTTTAGCCCCATCTCCGGAAGAACCAGAAAATCAGCAAGGTCGCCCCAGACTCCAGTCTTTGATACAACACGAGGATGATCCACCTGCAGACGACAGCTGGTTGGACGAAATGGTGGACGTTTGGTGCTGTCAATTAAAGCGTCGTTACATCCCTACGTTTCCTAAAGTCCTGGATCCTCAAAGTGAGTAAAATGCGGATGCTACGGGAAATGAAAATGAAGATGGTGTCGTAAATCTCACCTTTATTTTTCCTCAGGCAAACTTTACATATCTTGGCTACTGATAGTTACACTTTGTTACTTGTATAATGCTTGGGCCATCTTTCTCAGGGCTATTTTCCCATATCAAACAGAAGAAAATCTTCCAATTTTTCTCGGATTCGATTATTTCTCCGATCTAACCTATCTTATAGACATCGTTCTGTTTAAAGTTCGTGTTCAATACCTTCACGATGGATTTTGGGTGGTGAGTTCGCTAATTTCATCACGAAATTTTACTTATTTGCAGATCATTTTGTAAAATATCTGATTTCAGGACGATCCTGTTATGACGAGGAAACATTATTTCAAAAAGAGCATGTTTAAGGTATGTTTCTGTATATAGATTTTCGCCATGAATTGTTTACAACTGACTTCAATAGTTTGTTCTTCTCTCAGATGGATTTGTTATCACTGTTACCGTTCGATTTACTGTATCTTAAATACGGAACTAAACCCTTACTTCGAATGCCAAGAATATTAAAAGTGAGTAAAATTTTTACTGCACTTTACTGTGTTTACAACAGTAAAATTTAAATTATAAACTTTGAAGATTAGTTAGTTTGATCTCTGATATGCTACGATAGCAACAACACGATGACCCAAAAATAAGGTAACCGAAATACATTGTACACTACACTTTTGTAAAAAGTAACTAATATGTAATTTTAAGGATAGGAAACAGCATTCACGAAATGTCTACATCATGTTTCTAGAATAGCTTCATCATTGGACACTGTTCGATTCTGTTTTCGTTTTTCAGATAATGTCATCGCCATGTAAATTAGACATTAGGGATTTGATATGTGATGAAGAAATAGAATCGGTATTAAAGGCGTCGCCTCATAATTTATATTTAACTCGACATCCGAATGTTCCTGATAATGTAGAAGTAACAACAACAACAACAACAGCATTGTGATATTGTGTTTTTTTTTCTTTTTCGTTCCTTTAAGACTAAAGAGGTGTCCTGTTGCTATAGCAACGGATGGTAAACAATCTTCCATGATGANCGAAATGTCTACATCATGTTTCTAGAATAGCTTCATCATTGGATTTAGAGGATCTTGAAACGCTGCAAGAAAGGGGGATTCTGTATTCGTATGGATGTTAGTGTCTATGTGGGGGGAGGACGATTTTGTTCACTCAATTTGAAGCTTAATACTCCCGTGTCTTTTGTCGAAAATTTCTAAAATTTTGCAGAGAAATTTGGGTATTAAGAGCATCGATGCTATTTAATTTTGGTAGTTAAAGATCGAGGAGTGGGAGAAAGAGGGGATCGTGTGTCGTATCTCGAGTGGGGTCAGATTTAATAAAGATTTTGCTTATTAGCATTTACAATTTTTTTTTATAAAACTCATCTTTACCCTCAAAATTAAGCTTTTTGCCACTTTATAATAATATAAAAAGTTTTTAAAATAAAGTCTTGTAAGAGATGACGCCACACACAACTTGAGCTTTTTAGCCGGGAAAGTTACACAACTCGTTGCTGGATTTTTATATGAAACAACACGTTACGTCAAATAAAATTATGCAATATCCACTTCACATAACTCTCTTGGCTACTTTTAATTTTTATATAAATTTTTAGTTGCAGACGTTTTGGGAGTTCTTCAATAGAGTCGATGCCGTTGCCAAGTCCCCTTACGTTATCAGGTAAATTGCTTCTTAACTATTTACATAGCAATCTTTTAAATGTCTAACAAAATGATCCCATCTTTGTCCATTCTAGAATCATCAGGACATTAATCTACATGATGTATCTGATTCACCTCAATGCATGTGCTTATTACGCAATGTCTTCTTGGGAAGGAATAGGTTCTAACAGTTGGGTCTTTAACGGGACGGGAAATGCGTAAGACGTGTTTTTATTGGAGTGATTAAAGTGACGATTGACACTTTTTAAATGTAAAATTTCCTTTTCAGTTACATTCGCTGCTTTTACTTCGCTACTAAAACAGCAACGTCCATAGGAAAGAATCCAAAACCCTTAAACGAATTCGAATACGGTTTCATGACCGTTAGCTGGTTAATGGGGGTTTTCATCTTCGCTTTTTTGATTGGTCAGGTTAGTACTTCTGGAAACAGAGGATTCTCCCGTAAATAATTGTAATTTATTCGTGTTTAATCTCGTAGATTAGAGATATTGTAGCCACGGCCACTCAGAGCAAAACGCAATACAGGCAGATGATGGATCAGACAGTTCAGTACATGAGAAATTTGAGTCTTCCCGAAGATTTACAAAGGAGAGTGAGATTGTGGCTCAATCATACTTGGGAACAGCAGAAAACTTTAAGTAAGATAAATTTTTATAACGTTTGGAAATTTGTGAGAATAAAATTCCTTGAATATTTTAACTTGATATAATTTATATTGAGTCAGAACACTTCGAAGATATACCAAAATGTTGTCTTTTAGTCTTTAATTTGTGGATGCAATTTTTAATCACTTTTAATTTTAAAAAATCGCGTAACTTTTGGTCTTGACAGGACGTTCGTGTATAGACAATAGACCTTTGGCCCTTAAGCTTTCCATATCCGGTCTCGATTTTCATCTATCTAACTCTGTTTCGTAGATTAGGGAAGAACAGACGGGCAATGGGAATGTATTGGTCTGCAATTTTCAAATAGCACAGTTATAAATTCCCATTGGCGTCCATCTGTCTGTTCTTCCTTAATCTCGAGAACGGAGCTATACAGACAAAAATCGAGACCAGATATAGAAAGCTTAATTTTTTAAATGAAATTATGATTAAAAATTGCATTCAGGCATTGCGACCGTGTCACAGTAAATAATTGTTCGTTCAATATTACAATTATTCTGATTGCTTAATTTTAACCTCAATTCTATTTGACTACTAAATTTTGTCCTATAGTTAAACTTCTATCCACTTGTCAATTGCTTAATTGTTTAAATTTATATTATTCAGTTTTTAAATTGTACATTAACTTAGTTTATATTGTTAATACTTATTTAAAACTTTGTTATGTGTTTAAATAAATTTGATTAATTTCATTGCACACAACAATGGACAACAAATTCTGTTCATCAAATATAAAATGCTACTCCAAAAATGCTCATTAATATTAAAATTTTAAGCTGATAATAAGATACAGCCTTTCTATATTTAGAATTTTAATCAAAGAGAAAACGTTTGATCTTCTGTTTAAAGATTATTGAAAGCTTATAACATTAATTAAAGTATCATTTTCTCTTGAAATACAATGAATTTATTCCGACCGTTACTACCTAAATTACTTTCTACTTATAATTTGATTATTTATTCATTTATTAATGTCAAAATTCGGCTCAAAAATATGCTGCAAGGAACAATACCTCTTTATTAGTTAGCAATGTTTGCGAGTGTAAAAAATTTCTAGCAGTGACAAACAGACATTTAACAAATTTTTCTGCTGATTAAACATTTTATAAACTGTCTACCGACATCAATTCGATATTTTCGTTTTTTTATTCTTAAAATAATGACTTTTTAAAGAATTTCATATAATTAATTATAAATAAGTTCAAAGTTTCAAATTTTGATAATACAGGCTTTAAAGATTAATAAATATATTCTGAAATAATTGGAAATATATTCATTGTTATGAACAGACACAGATCATCGCATTGTTTGTATATACTATGAACAATATATGTTAGCATAGCGTAAAATAATAGCTTATTCCGATATTTACCCTCTTAATTCAAAGTTTATTGTTCGTCGTAATGTCAGATTATGATAAACGATAGATAAAACAATTGAGCCATTAAAGTAATTATAGCTTCCTGTTTAGTTAATAAAGTCCGACGAAGGATTTTACGTCGATCTATCAAACAATATTTATTCAAAATACAATAATGGAATATTGTAATATCTATAATCTGTGTCAGTTTACTGATATAAAATAAATGCATTTTTAATTTCCCGGCTGTTATATATAACAGAGGGAAAGTATGGAGATTGGTCAAAAAATGACTCGGGACCTTGAAACGTCGAGAAATGCAAAAAATTCGTGTTTTTTTCTGTATTATGGATGTTAGCGTGTTGGGTGCACAATTTTGTTCACCCTTTTTGAAGCTTTTTGTCGAAAATTTTTGAAATGTTGTAAGGGAGGTTTTAGTATTAGGGGGATCGATGCTATTAAATTTGGTGGTTAAAGGTCGAGGGGTGGGGAGATAGAGGGGCTCGTGTGTCGTATCTTCAGTAGGGTCGGACATAACTCCTTCACACCAATACATCTATTAGACATGATAGAAAGTATAACGATACACTGTAGATTAATTCAGAGCTCGGAGTATTTCTAATCTCATAAGACGTAAGACAGCTGTTGGTAACAATCTTCACAGTTTTTGTTGACAGAAAGTGTTACCAACAGCTGTCTGTACGGTTGAAAATTTGCTCAGTTTTTTCTATTAAGAAACTGCTTTATGTCACAGACAATTGTACAGCTGTTGGTAACACACTGTACAATTGTTGGTGATACAAAGCAGTTTTTTTATTAGAAACAACTAAGCTAAGTTTCAATATAAGCAATAACACCGTAACGCTACTGTCGATTTTATGTACTTATTATTTATCTACGACTAATATTAAGCTTACTTATAATTTAAGTAAATGAAATTGTAATTTAAATATTTCAGAAAATTGTTTTTATACAACGTTTATGATTTATTAGTAAAGCAGTAGCTATAAAAGCTCTTCGTAAACTTAATTTTATTCACAAACTTCTAGTTAATTTCAAGAATGTCAAACTTTATCAATACTTACAATAGCTTTGTAATTTCTTAAATTAGATAGTTACGGTTCAGCTTTATCCACATAAATGCAAAATCTTTACATCCATAATTACATTCGTGAGATGTAACAAGTTACATTCCAATAAGCGTAGGATAAGTGAGGCTGGGATGGTGAAAAAGTTTCATTATTGTAAAAATAAATTTTACTTTAAAAAGCTTACCGAACTAGTGTCTGTCTTCTTATCGTTTCAAACAACACAATAACCAGTAAAATAATAGTGTTTTCCGAAAAACATATTCGAAAAAACAAAATGTAATTTCCTGCTAATTCGCTCTTAGAGGCGTGGTTAGCTGGTGAACAGTGTATTGATGAACACTCTCCCAGTCTACTCTGTTATTTTTTGACCGATTACAGGTTAAACTTATTATTCAAGCTTCTATAAAATTATATACAAGAAACAAAAGTCTTCCGCCAATCTTAACTTAAGACTTTCCAGGCTACGGTAAACATAAGCATGAGTAAAACGTTCTGCCAGTCAGAAACAGGAACATTCCATTTTTACTTTCCCAGCTGTTACAGGTTATATAACAGTGGGAAATTATGGCGATCGGTCTGAAAACGACCCCAAGACTTTGTTTTTGGGCTCAGGACATTTTGAAACGTCGAGAAATGCAAAACAATTCGGGGGTAATTTCTGTATGTATGGATTAGTGTGTGGAAGCACGATTTTGTTCACTCTGGTTGAAGCTTAATAACTCCCGTGCTTTCTGTCGAAAATTTCTGAAATTTTGCAAGGAGGTTTGTGTATTAGGGGGGTCAACACTGTTAAATTTTGGTGATTAAAGGTCGAGGAGGTGGAGAGATAATGAGGGGTCGTGTGTATCGCCAGTAGAGTCAGACTTAATGACTATTTTACTCGTTATTAATATTTACAATTTTGTATAAAACCCATCCCTCAAAGTTAAGCTTTTTGCCGTTTTATAATAGTTAAAAATATAAAATTTCTAATTAAATATGATAACAGATGGCGCCACCCAAATTTTAAATGTTACCGGGAAAGTTGAGCAACTCATTGTCGGTTTATTTCACTTACTTTTACAACAATAGCGCGTAAACAGCGCACATAGCCAGCATGACTTTCAGCTACCACAATATATTAATACGAGGAGCTACTGTTTAGTTTATAGTTCATACAGTAATTACACGTGTTCACCATCTCACCCTGATTTACCCAAATAATTTTCTTTCTTTATCTCTTTTATAAATAATCGCGTAATGTTAGGCAGAACATTAAAATAATGCGCTGTTTATTCACTGCGTTATCAAATATATTACTCATTCTATAAAATATTTATTTTTAATTATAATTTATGACTTTACATTCCTATTGATGAAACTAAAATATTTATTTTCAGACGAAGGTGCTATTTTGGATTCTCTTCCTCGCAAAATGAAAACGGATGTTGCTATTAATGTTCATTACAACACTCTAATTAAAGTTCAACTGTTTAAGGTAACTTTTATTTTTCTTCATCCTCTCATCGTAAATTAAAATAACACCAAGATCAGCATTAACATTATTTTTTATACTTCTCTTAATTATAAACAATTATAAGTCTTTTTATATACAGTACAGGATTCCGTGTGTTTTTATTAAATTTTATTCTTAATTCCACGACGTTAATTAAGTTATTTGTTCTCTGCTACTTTTTGCATTCTGGTTTATCTATTAAGAAGGTAATCCTTTCGAAACTGTTCATTTATTATCGTCGTAGATTAAGAATAGTGTGCAATTATAAATTACAAAATTACGAATACCTTCAATCATTAATACGTTTTCGTTTGCATTCAGAGATATCATTATTAAGCATTTAAATAATTCAACTTTCCGTATTATCATTTAGGCCTATATATCTAAGGTGTTTATTAATTGTTTGTGAATCTCTATAACTAAAAGTAAAGATTGATAAATTCTATTAAA